CCTGGTTGGGCGTGGTGGCGCTGCTGCTGGTAAAGGGGCGCTACTCGCGGCTCCTCCGTTTCCGGATCCATACCCGGTGCTGCTAGTACGATTGTCCTGTTCCATACACAAGTTCTCCGGGTCACCATGGGCTGGCAATCTTTCACAGGCCATTCTCTCTGGCCAGGAGAATCCATACTGTTGCATCAACGGTGCGCAACCAGCCCGTGCTCTTTCACAAACGCTTCTACAAGCTGGAAGAGGTTTAGTGTACTCGGGCAAGCATATCGGGGTATACATCGAACAGAGGAAGAATTTCAAATCTGGCGAACATTTGATTTCGACCAATGGCCAGAATTGATGCACCTCTAAGCCAGCCTCCTCTTGGTTGTCGTGATTCAATTCGTTCGGCATGGCCGTTAGATTGTAACCGATTCCACGACACATTGGGATCGTGATCTCCTCGCATCGACCGTTTCCGTTAACAGCTCCACCGCCTAAAGACGAGTGTCCAACGCCGCTACTTCCACCTCCAACCACGCTGTTACCAGAACCAACCATGCTACCGGAAGCCGAGCCACTGCCAGGCACGACGCCTACCATCGACGACGACGAGGCAGAAGAAGAGGAGGACGAAGAACCGCTCGATACCGAGCCCACGTTGCTCACTGGACTGATCGCTGATTCTAATCGCACGTTCGGTAATACTGCCAGCAGCAGCAATGGTAACAGGGACGCCATCGTTCGGCTTGGAAGCAGCTTCGTCCGTCGAACGAGTCCCATTTTCCAACGTCGTTTGCTTTACTCCTGCGTGGATCGCATCACTCCGGCCTGAAACACAAAATATTATAGTGTTTTTTAAACCTTTATGAATATCGTGTAGTTCAAGTCGTATCAACCTATTCGGAATTCATTTACGTGAAATTTATTTTTTGACTGCTTGGTCATTAACGAGTAAAACACGGGTTCGTTCGGTTAACATACGCCATGAAAGAAACACGAGACCGTTCCGGGATAATTCGTGCAATTTTTCGTGTTGCCTCGCGTTTTAGCACGTTTCTCGTTAATGCGTGTGTCACTGGTTCTGGCCAAACACAAAGCGTTTCAGCTGGCGCATACAATGTATGCGTATCAATTAGGTTAATGGATGGACGTTAACGCTCTGGTATCTTTCAATTTCGCTGCAATCGTGTTTCGTGGAATACTGTTTTTGTTGCCCAATTCATGGTCGGAACTGGAGCGTACTGATTAACTATCCGGTCTACTTTAAAATAATATAAAGTTATTTAGCCGGTGTATTTTAACAGAGAATAGGCACGCGAATAACACAGAAATTTATTCAATTTATTCAAATTAGAACGATCAGACTAGCATAATGACGATCAATTTTCCGGCATGCGCGAAAGACTCGGGAAGAAACAAAGACAAGATTTAAATAATCGTTATTATTCGAAATAAATAAGTTTTAATTTATCTTTAATTAAATAAAATCAAAAACCCCACAAACCACTATCTTCGCCGCTCATCATCCGTCTCGCTCCGTAATCAGCCATCCCCTAAATGTATTCCATCCTCCATACGTTTTCGTTCGAACAGGATGCAACAAAAACGTGTTCAATCTCAGAGGCCCTTACGGTGGTCCTAATTAAACCCGGGAACGAAATGGTTCTCGCCAATGGAAAAAAAGACATCGGCCAGAGTTGTAGCTAGCATAAGATTATATAACGCGAACGGTTGAAGGCGATCAACCGGCCGGTGCTCGTATTTGCATAACCACCCGCCGAATCTCGATTCGTTCGTTAAGAGGCCGCCGAAAGACGCGACCGTCTGCGACCCTAACGAACACGAAGGGCGCGGGGTTCAGGTGGCTGCCGCATAAATCAACGTCCGACGAGGCTAGATCCTTCGCTAGAGATTCCAAGGCAAAGGGTATACACACTCGCACAAGCTTCTATACGCTATGTGAGAAAGGAACGGAACTCTCGATTGGCACGCCATGCGCGTCTCTCTGGATATCTCTCGCCGAGAAAACAGAAAAAGAAACACGACGAAGAAGAAGGTGGAATTGGAAGGTGGAATAGGGCAAAGGAACGCGTGGAAGCGGAGCAGGCACGACGTGACGAGCGAATACGACGAGAGCAGAAAGGTTAACGTGCAATGGAGGGAGCATCAGCCACGGGACGACGACAGTCGGTGGATCTTATAATAGTCGGGCCGCGGAAAACACGTGACCGGAGCGAAATGTTATTGTAGGAGGCGGTGTTAGTTTTACCGTTTGTTAACTGCTAGCACCCCGAGACGCACGCGTTCCCCGAGCTATTTATACGATCTAAAACCCGCCACTGTGTTGCATCTTCGCGAGAACGACTAACTTCTGCCCCTCTCTCCTCGTCTCCTACGAGGCTACGTGTGTGGCTCGTGCCGGAACGGAGATTGACGCGTGCAAGGAAAGGATCAGGGAAACGATCCTGAGCGACGTAGACTCGCTGCATCGGCAGATGGAAGGATTGAGAGAGAACGGAGTTAAGCTGACTTCACACAGAAATATACAGTACTACCGCTTACAAGAATCGATTCAACGATGCAAGTAGAAATTAATATTAAGGATCTAATATCAATATAGCGTGGTACTTTTCTAATGAAATTAAGAAACCGAATAAAAAATCGAGTCGATCGGTTTAACTTTCGAGAGGCTCGTGTTTCTACCGTCCTAACATTCTTCTGTCGTTGGACGCGCACGTACGAGTACGTTCGTGTGAAATTAGCCTAAGAAAGCGTTACGGTGAGTCAAATCGTGTGGCTGTCTAGTCGAGACGGATGTGTATTTTCCTCCCTTGCCTGGCTTCCGGTTCAGAGCCAGGTCTAAGCCATCCACAGAGCCTGTATTCGACGTTTTGCGGTATTAAGCCGTTCATTCGTCATGAACAATGGTATTCAAACGAAATGCTGCCTCGAGAGACCGGGACGAACCGGGAGGATCGAGGATCCTTAAAAAGCTCCAGTCTGTAAAAGTTGCAAATATGCAAGTAGTCAACCTCGTCGATCGTCGTCGTCTCGGAGTAGAATACTCGCGAAACTCGTGCATCCAGCGCTGGTTTTAACAAAGAAGGAGCGTATAAAAGGCGTCTCTATCTCGCAGAAGCTCTGTGCTCAAACACGAGAAAGGTCAACTGGCTGGCATGTTAATTCGATATTCATGGCATTCGGTATGCAGGTTCGTAACGTCTGAATGGACGACTTCGATCGGTCTCTTGCGATGTCTTCGCGTTCGACAGCACCTTTTTTCGTTTCAGCCACCCTATGTCGTGCCTCTCTGATATTTGAAAGCACGTGACTCATGCGAGTGGAACCCACGCCCGCTAAAGACACCCCTTGAATTTAAGGGGGAGCATGTGAACGTGCACCTTTGGACCTTTGGTGTCGACCATTTTTTACTACGTAAGTTTAAAAGAACGATGACGATTAGTTCGATATGACTTTAACTCTCGAGATCAGTTATACCAGTGTATTCTCGGTGAAAATTCATCGACTAACCTTGTCATCCAAATATTCGAATTTCCTTCGAGTATCCGTTTTCCCAATTCTCGAGCTTGAAATATCTAGAATATTAAGAGAAAACGACAGGAATAATAAATTACCGCGACACCTGCAACCTTCTTCCAGTCTGGACCGACATCGAATCGAAAGGATCATCGAGCATTTCCAAAGAGTGACAAGCGGATCGATTAATCGCTCTCGTATCATTCAGCCCTCCCACTCAGCGCGTCTCACAAAGCAATTAAAATCAACGAACCTGCCTCCAATACATCTTTCAGAGTCCAACGTAAAACAGCGGACAGGAAGAGAACGCGCACGCCTTTTCGATTATTAATCCACGTGGCCTCGCCGTCGTCGTAATTCATCCAGCCAAACGAATCCCACTCGTTCGCTCGCGCGAGCACCTTATAGCGGAACACGGTCACGCGCGATTCGACCGATCGATCGTTAATCGTCGAAGAACAACGTGCGGCGCTTATTGACGCGTCAGAGAGGCCTGGCCCACGACCGGGAAATTATCGCGTTCGAAAACGCGATACTCCGTGCTTCATCGCCGCGGGAACAAGCTATCGCTTATTATTCCGGGCTCACCTTCGCGCTCCTTCCCTCTACGTGACCATCGTACACCGCCATTCACCATCTTGTCTCGTGGAATACGGCGTGTTCGTGATGAAGATGATGCTTTCCCTCGCCCATTCGCGCTATAATTTCCCATTAAGGTACATTTTCGCGGGATACTTTGGACGTTCCAGAAGGGGAGAGGATGGTGGATCGTGTCGGGTAATGAATCAGTTTTAAAGGCCTCGCCCTTGCCAGGAATACGGCTCGGCCCCGCTGCCGGCGTTGTTTGGCTTATGATTTACTCCTCTCGCATGCAAATCCTCCGTCACGTCCTTCCGTTTCTTTCTGAAGATGTGGGCGAAACGAGAATACTCGCCAGGAAATTTTTCTTCCGACGTCTTGTGATTGCGAAGGGGCGTTCTTTATTTAAGGGGTTGTGGTCCGTTTGGCGAATGCTCGTTTTATTCTAATTTTTTGCGGACTTGCTTCGTCAAACGATAAGCTTCTTCAATTCAGACGCTTACGACTGTGACAGTAATTATTAAGCAAAGGAATTATTGGTTTCAAGTAAATCATGGTCAAAATTCGATTTATTCGGGCAACTCTGTCGACGCAATCGATGAATTTCAGTTTTTACGTATTTCAATAAACAGACTAACGAACAGCGTTTGGAACAAATATTAGCACCTAAAGTAAAGACATTTCTGATAATGCAAATCCAGCAGAAGTGGTATTTTAACAGCAACAAATGTTTAGTAGATATATATACATGTATTATTCATACTTCGTTTCGATTTATTTACTGGCTTCTTATTTGAATATATATCGAAGCATCATATTGAACCACATATTGAAGCATCGAGATATTAAGTACATTTGATTGACAGTTGCATTTCAATGTAAATGGTTCAAGTGCCTTCATTACGTTATGAATACAAAAAAGATAAAAGCGTCGGTATAAATTCCAAACCACGAGCGATTTTTTAAAGCTGTTGATAGATCACGTACGAAAACAAACGTCGGCAGAACGTTACGTAAAAAGAAGAGGGCCCGACCAATTGGATTTCTGAGCAGGGATTCGAACTCGAATTTTTCTTTCACCCGTGCCTGACTGCTTTAACCAATTAAGCTGTCCAGCCTGTCAACAGATCCTTTCCCCGTGAGTCACACGCTCATAACGGCCTGATAAATGCGGGCGTCCTTGCTCACGTACGAAATTAAGATTTAAAAACCAATAAAAAACACATCAAATTTAAGATCAACCTTTCCATTACCAATTAGAAATACTCGTCTACGACAATGGTACTGAAAATTCGCTTCACGATTATGAGAAACGTTATACTCCGTTAAGTTTTGCCACTGTTATACGCATACTCGCTGTTATTCCCAACGAAACAATGAGAACCACAGCAATAATTTTGTATGGTAATTACGGTAAACGTTCGGATACCAGCTATTATTCCAGGAATAATGAGTTGATTGATGAATAGTTTTAGATTCGCGTGCAACGGTGGGGATCGGGTAATTATCATTATCATCGGTACTTCATCAATGTCTAATTTCTACTGGATTTCCATCTATATTAGGACTGCAATACAGAAATTGAATAGTATCGGAATTTCCGAATGACATTATCTTCTTCCATCGGAGACAGCCTATTATACCTGTGTTGCGTTGATTAAAGAGATTAAAGAGATATCGTGCATTTCGTAATTCGATTCATCGTGATAAAA